CTGGCAAAAGCCTCACTGATACCAATTAGGCAGTACTGTGGAATCTGATACAGGATACTTAGGTGTGAAGCATTATATGAAGTGTTTCCTATAAACAAGAATGTAAATTTATCAAAGGTAAAATAAACATTTGGAAAGTCATTTCAAATGAAAAATACCCTTACATCTATTACAATCTTTAAAAGCATTAACATGATATCAGTAATTATAATCTCTATTACACACTACAAAACAATTTCCTTTTACATGGATAACAACTGTTCTCTTTGGCCAATAAATTTCCTCTTAAAGGGATAACAACTGTTCGTTTTGGCAAAAAAATTATTTTTCTGGGTAAACATTAATTTTTCCATACTAACCAATGGTCAATGAATCCATTCTGACATTCAAAGATAGTCCATGGTTAAAAAAAAATTTGGCTTTTTGTAATAATCTCTTTAGAGATTATAACAAAGGGTAGCCATCTATGGAGGTCACATGGACTGATGGCAAACACAGATTTCAGGATAAGTGCAGTTACCACTGATTTGGTGGTAAAATAGAATTTATTATACTTCTATGAAGTGTTAACAATGTATTTATTGTGAAATATGAAACTCAAACATAGAGTTTTTATCCCTTTAAATATAACTTTTAAACTACTTACCAATTTCCTGTATGATGATCCCGTTGTTATGTACATCATGTAATCGTATTGTCTCAATACCCCCCGCCATTGCAACAGCAAGGACAGAAAACAACAGTCCAACTGTAATACGGGAGATCATGCTAAACTGTCTTCCAGAGCGGTCAAGTTTAGGATAGACACATCTGTCCAACAGAGGGATTAGAAACAACAAAAAGAGGACATCAAAAAGAGAAAGACTGGCAACTGGTACCTGCAAGGAAAACATAAAAATAAATAAAACTTCAAATAATTTAATAACTGAATATTAATAATGATTTTAAGGTTTGCATTGAGGCATTTTTCACTTATGTTTTATAATGCTTAGTTCTTTTTTTATTCCTGAAAAACATTTAAAATAATCTCAAAAATCATTATAAAATATTTTGTCACCATTCTTACTAGCTGCATTAGAACATCTCATCATTCCCAAAAATGAAAAAAGGAAATAATGAAAATGTAATTGAAACAAATAAAATGTAAAACAAAAACTTATTTTAATTAAAACACACAATAATATGCCTAAATAAACTTACGTCATATTCCTTTTTGGGTTCAAATATACTCAGACTCATGTGAAGACCTTGCACAAGAAATGTGGATTCCATCTAAAAAAAGAAATTGCCAAAAATAATACTTCATCCAAACTCAAATAAAGAGAAAATTATCTATACTTCTTTATGCAAAAGTTATTAAAATTTTTTCAAACAACACATAACAAAATTCCTATATACCTGAAAATACACCATCCAATATGGAATGAGTGCTGAGAAGACCATCATAATTTTCCCCAAGGCCTTGACATCATCTACCATAGACTCATGGTAGCTGCCTCCAAAGCGCACTTTGGCATAGTCCAGACAGTCTGTGGGTTTACTACTGTGTGACAAGTCTGCAGAGTCGACGTGTTCTTCACTGCAATTAACAATGTTTAGTTAAAATTCTACCTCAATGCACTGATATCAGGGTGAAGATCAACAGTCAACAGCCTAATGCTGATTGACCCATTTGCTAATTATGGATCATAATTGTTGACTGGGGAAATAATACAGATCTGCACCCTGAAAGAACAGATCTTTAATTCAAAGAGTAAGGTTGTCATATTTTACATTCATCAAAATATGCAATTTACCAATCTTACACCAGAACATTTACTTACAAAGCTGGACTGTTTTCTCACTGATACAATCAACTGATTTATGAGAATCAAAGAATATTAATAAAAAAGCAACGATTATTTTCTATTCATCCTAGATAAATTACCTATGGAAAGGTAACTGCCCATCAATTACTTTTCTATTTCTTCGGTTCCTAAATGCTTCACCTATAATCTTGAAAATATTGGTAAGAACACTCCCGGTAGCCGGCCTCCTAATGTAGGCAGGAGTACCTGTAAAATATTGAATAATTATCAACATATATGTTATTAAACATAAAGTAGTTTACAGTACACCATAGTAATGTTTCAAATAACATTTTAGTTTCCAGTCCTAGAAATCTACACCTGATTGCAATCCCCCCACCCCCATTTGATACCTTTAAAATCCAACAAACCACTTTTTGTACCGATTGCTAATTGTGGGATGCTGCAATTGAAAGCAATCTGAATGTGGCTTATCACTCATTTCACAATTGGACAAGATAACTGACAGAATATCCTCTATCATACACATCATGTGTTCAAACAGTCTGAGAGTCAACACTAAACTAGGTTAGTACACTGAATGACACGAAAACAGACATTCTAATTCCATTTCAACTGATAGGCAATCATGTAACATAATTTAGAAAATTAATCCCTTGTCAACATGGAAGTTGGATAAGTTAGCAATTTCTCGAACCTAATGACATTTTTTTTAGCAAATCCATCATTTTCTCCATCTCTGCTTGTTTGTGGTAAAATGATAAAAATGCTTTCTAGAAATATGCTGGGAAACAAACTTTGAAATATCACCAGGGCCAAAACATTTATTTCAGTAAAAATCTATCAAGCCTTGCATATATATATACAAAATAACAGTAATAAGATAAGTGTCATATTCTGACGGTAAAAAAGTGATACAATACCTATGACAAACAGAAGGAATGAGACTCCAAGGCATACTAGAGGTATTAAGTATCCACGGAAGAAATCGATATTTTGCTGCACATAAGCTATGATTGTAAGTGATAAAAATGCCCCTATGTTAACACACCAGTAGTACCAGTTGAAAAACGTCCGCATCACCTCTGCTCCATCACGACGAACCTGAAAAAAAAACAAAAAAAAAATGTCACAGTTCAATAAAACTAAATCACGATTAACCTGAAAAGATTGAAGAAGAGGGGGTGGGTAGACCATTTAGCTGCTTTAAATAAAAGACATTGAAAAAATAAAAAGAGCTCTTATGTCACAGAATACATGGCTATGCAGAGTTAAGATGGAGAAGTACCCCCTACCAGGGCAATAGATTGATTTTTCACAAGTTATTCACAGATATGTCTTTACATAAATAGCTGGCCATTTGGTTCTCTGGCTTTTGGAAAATTTGCCTATAATATCTACCACCCTGGTAGAGGGCAATGGAAGGGCATGTTTTGACAACGCTGGACCAGCTGCATTCATTTACCAAAATTTTAGCTTAACTGTAAAGCCTTGTTATGTGACAAAAATCACATTTAATACAGATAAAATGAAAGAGCAATCATTTTGAAAACAATAGACATTGTGATAAATGTTTAGATACAGTGGGGCTTGGCTCTGAATACGTGTAGAACTGCCAAATTGAATGCATTCAAACAGTAAAACAAATAGTAGTTATGTATGTATACAACATGAAGTATCCAGGAGAATACCATTATCATTGCATTACTGATAAACTGTTTGCATTATCATGCATGGGTCTAATTGATTTCAAGTACTGATAATGATAGTGCAATTGTTGATCCTTGTTCTAGTTTACACTTCATGTTTAATGTGGGAGATATACAGCAGTCTGTTACTTATATTTCAAAAACACAACCGTGAAAGTAATATATACTAGGAATCTCTTCATGGTGAACTGTTTCATATTATTATCATCATTTCCTTTAATGATTACAGCAGTGTTACTGTGGCTCTATTCCCATAGATTTTAGATCGATCTATCCCCGCAGGGAGTCTCACTAGATTACTTTCAGATAATCCGACTTAAATGTCCGTCCCGCCTACTACAAGCTGTAAGGGGGTAATTAACTTTCGTGTCCGCCCGGCTGACAGCTATTTAGCGTGAACCCCCAGGGAATTAGGTCGATCTAAAGTAGGTCGATCTAATCTATGGAAATGGGGTGTAAGAGACCAGCCCTTCACCTGCTCAGCTCCGAAAGGTGCCAAATTTGCTTTCACGATTCCCACACCACATGCCATGATGAAAAGAGACAAGTATGCCGCCCACGCACACTGTTCAGTCCAAGGATATCTGTGGTTATCATCATCTCCACTTGAGCTCTTATTGCCTATAACGTACCAGCCTGTGGTTTCAGTTCTGCAGAAAGCTGGAGCTTTTTTTCTTGTAACATTTTTCACGACATCCCAGTCCCAGTCAGCTTTTAGGTTGGAAGGGTTCGGCGCCATAAATGGCATAAACAAATACCCACCAAGGTAAAAAATAAAGGCCAAAATAATGCTTCTGTATTTTCCACAACCACTGTCTGCCATGAAACCCCCGACCAGAGACATCAAATATGAAATTCCGAAGAAAAAGGCCTGGGCATTGACAGAGTTGTATGACGTCCAAAGATATGGTTCTTCGTTCAAGAATAAGACGAGATTTCCTGCGATTCCATAGAAAGCGATTCTCTCGAACATTTCTGATGAGAGTATTGTAAAGCAGGCAAATCTGCGTCGCCATATTGCTCTGTTATTTAAGCGCCCTGGTCCCGATGAAGCTAGCAATCGCCTCCTTTCGCTGTTGTTATTCATTGTGGATTTCACAAATTTGAACTTTCTACAAGTTCTTCTATCATAGCAACTTTTCCTCAGATGTTAATCCGATATTAATTGGTAGCTTCACCGTAAGTCCAAAGCAGATCTTTCAGACATAAAATGCCCTGGAGTCTCCGATTAGATTGAGGTTCCACTTGTCTGTCACCTGACCGTCACTCATGTGTGAACTAAATAACTCTAGCAAAAGTTCTGATGGGGTGAAGCCTCGATTTCAAACGAAAACATATTCTTCCTGTTTCCGGTTCAAGGGTGAAAGGTGAAAGTGCATAGCAGAGGAGGTTGGTGAGTCCTGTTATTTTTCTCCTTGTCGTATGTAAAGACAAGAGGTACATTCAAAATAATGTATGCACGGCTGAATAACATATCTTGGTTTTCCTTTCCCCAAATGTGTACAAATGTGCGCATAAAATAAGGTCCAGCTGGTAAATTATTGAATGTCCCGATTCTGCAGTGCACTTAAAATCTTATTAACTTCTTAGTATTTTTCGTAGTCAGCCTTGATTTAATCTAGGATCCAAGATAAAGACCTTTGAAGTTTTATGTTGGATCCTATTTTTCAATGCAATGGCAATGTATTTTGTGTGTGTGTGTCGCTGTTCGTGTGATATGAATTGTAAGGATCATTTTTGCTAGGACGGAAACCAGTGCATGGAATCAAAGAAGAGTGTGTTATTCTTGTCCCCACTTAAGCCATACAGTGGAAACCAAACTACCATTGACAGAATTAGGTAAATGATGTACATGTGTGTATTAAAGTATATGATGATATTTTAATATTTGCAAAATACAGGTAGTTTCTAGAAATTGAAGTTAATACAAATGTTTCACAATGATGTCTGTAGAATTTAAAAACATATACTAGTATACTAGTATATCATTATTGAATTTTTAATTAAGAAAATTATTGAATTATTCAGACTCTGTATTTTTATTGTTTAATTCAGGCAGTACCTTGAGCCATTGTACAATTGCCACACAGAAGACCCTGTTAATCTCTGTCCACAGAAAACATTTTCTGAGTTCTTAAAAGTAAAACAAATATCTGCAATACTGGCAGTGCATGCATATCACTCAGGAATAATCTTGTTGGGTGAGGCAGTCTGATATTGCTTTACAGTATGTTTTTATAGCTAAATTACTAGTATAGTATGTGCATACAAGCAGTTATAGATAATACCTTAAAAAGAGTAGTGTTTTGAATTTTATGTAAAATATTACTGGTATATGTATGTTTGTTCAAAACTGTCTACTCTCATATATACATGTATGTTTCTAATATGATCAATATAAAGATTTAAGAAGACAATATTGTTTCTTTTTATTCAGACTGCACAGTGCCATACATTTTGGTGTTTGGAGGTACAGATATCAATGAATTTTCCAAAGATGAATCAAAATTTCAGATTATGACCCGGGCTGTGCAACATGCAAAGTAAGTATTCTATAACCATTTATATCCTAATATGGGAACTAAACCTATCAGTATGACAACTATGCATAACTGTCTCTGATACTGGGAATTAATTAGCAACTGACCAATGTCACATGTAGTCTCAACCTGAGACCATTCACTAAGTAAACTTTACTCATCTTTTAAAGGATTTTGTATCTTTCAGGTTTGCTGTTGCTTTTAATGACTCCGTGGTAAATAAAGCCAAATCATTATGGGTAAGTCTTAAAATGAAGGTAAAATAATAAATGTATAGATATTTGCCAATCTCTGATACAACCTACAGCAAAATTGTGTCCAAGAATTTTAAATGATGTGACTTTGTTCAAAATTTAATACTTATTTTGATTACATTAACTAAGATTGACATTCTTTCAAAAGACTTTTTAAATATATTACTTAATAAATGAATATGTTTTTATATTTCTATATATAAAATTCCATATATATATTACATAAATTATAACAATTTCAGTTTGTGCATATGACAATTACTCGATCTTTTCAATTGTAAATTTGACATATATTGTAATTTTTAAAGTCATAATTTCTTTAAATAAGAGCATTTCTATTGAGTGGCAGCAACAAAATTAATAAGCAGGCTACTCTTTAGTTCCTTTCTATAGTAACAGTAAAAGCACCATAAGTGCTATACAGAAATATAATTTTGTGATTAAAAAATTATGTTTCTAAAATTGAAAAGATCACGTCATTACCGTGATTTTAAAATGAATAAAAATATATATGTATACATATTAACATATTTTCTTTTTTCTGTTATCCCATAGCCTGATGTTTGCCCCAAAAAGCTTATTGTGATACCTCAGGGTGTTTCCACAACCCCTTCCAGTTGTTTCAATGTCAACCAATTTCTACAGGAGAACTATAACATAAGCTGTGGAGACAGCCCTCTAAGGCTATTCACTTTGATTGCTGGGATAAGACCAGTGAAGGATGTGACATTTCTTCTCAAGGATTTTTCTGGTATTGTTATGGCTTTATAGGTATTATTAATTTTACAATAGTTAAATTTTTTTTGAATTATGAACATTATGATAGGTGAGTATACTGTCTTGCTTATGATAGTCAGTTTAGTTAAGCAGGATGTTTAATCTAAAAAAAAAAGAATTCAAAAAGAGCAATTAAATGTAAATATAAGAAACTAGGTCTAAATCTTGAAATTTTGCAGATAAAAACCCACATGCATACTCTATAGATTTGAATCAATGTAAAATGGCAAAACCTTCTTGGATTCCAGCTTGGCATTTAGATGATCACAGTGACTGTTTTTTCCTGATCATAGGACCAATTGTAAGTTCATCAGAAGACAATGTAATGAAAATACACTGAGCAAAATTATAAACATCCCATGCAATACTTATAAAAATATAATTTAAAAAATTATCATCACTACGGGTTATATATATATATATATATATATCAAATAAAATGCGAATTTTTGTGCCCATTGTGCTATGGATTAACAACAGCTCATTTAGTGTGCCCATTACATGTTACATAAATAATTCACATGGGGCATTTAAATTTTTTGCTCAGTGTGTGTCAGTGACTAGGAAAGAGAGCAAAATGCTTAAACTAGCCAAAGAAGCGCTGGTAATTTTTGATGAGGATTCTGCTACATATGCCATTGCTAGGGTTGTTTTCTACCCAGAATAATGCTATTGTTTTGGAATTGAACAGATCCATATAGACCCGATATGAAGAGAAGTCTGGTTTGTTGGAGATATTAGGCTATAAAACCATTCTTAACCATTTCAAACTTCCAGCATATATTGACATTGTAGTCCTTTTCTTTTGTAGACGGACAAATCTTATCATATGCAAGTGGAGTCCATAATTGATAGGTGAGTCTGCGTTTAATGGTAGTTATCTTGGTAGAGAGCAATAACCATTTGCTTTAAGTGTCAAAATAAATAATTAAGTTATTTTAATGATGCATCTATGAAGTGCTACTATAAAGATGTAATATCTAATCCAAGCTTTCGGCCCCTAGGCCTTCTTCAGGGATTTGAAAAAAATCCTATCACATCTTTATAGTAGATCTTCATAGATGCATCGTTATAATAACTTATTTATTTCTTAAAAATCTATACAGTGATTTGATATAAATCTTCAAAACAAATAATTAAAACAGGCACATAATTAATGATGTGCGCCCATGTCATCCAGAGTTTCAGGGGACACTGCTAACTCACCTCTTTACTGATAGTACAGTGGTGATTTTCAGTTCTCTCTGAAAATCAGGGTCATCCTTGTCTATCTGTGAACTAAGAGATGTTTGCTTTCAGCTGTAAAGGTGTGCTTCAAATCCTTGCACTGGAAAAACCAGACTGTCACGCAATAATCAGGGATAGTTTTGCCCTGGTGAATTCATCACTTAGTGAGGGTATGTCAGCAGCTTTATTGGAGGTAAGGTTGTACTAGGTGTCCAGTATTATCAGCACATGTCTGCACATTTTTAATGAATTGAAAATTTTTAGATTTTTATTGTAGAGATGATTTCACAAGTAGCATTTCTGATTATAATTGGCCACATAATCATTAGTAATCTGAATGATTGAATTGGGGTGTTACATTATGACTTTTTAAAATAATTTCTGTTTAGAATAAATTTGAGAGCTGTCTGACTGACATATTAAAGAGCACCTTGTCTAAAGAAGAATGATAACAATATTCATTGTGCACATACTGTAGGCAATGGTCATGGGTGTCCCAGTTGTTGCCAGAAATATACCTGGTAATGCTGCTGTCATTCAGCACAGGAAAACAGGGTTTCTGTTCAACACACCTCAGGTAAATATGAAATCCATTTTTTTTTTTTTTTTTTTTTTGTTAAGTGCATTGATTCCAAAAAAAATACTATACTATTCAGTAGATTATATCATGAAAAAGTTTGGTAATGCATAATACATGTAGATAAATTGCTTTACAATGTGAGTGAGATTTCTGGCTGTTGTTTAACTATTAGTACTGTGCTCTTGTTTTCAGGAATTTATAGAGATTGCACAGGAGTTGCTGCAGGACAGGACTCTGTGCACAGCCATTGCAACCAGTGCTAAAACTGAGGCAGAAAGGAAATATTCTTGTAAGAAGGAAATGGAAGCTTATAGAAAACTACTTAATTCCATGTAAAGCAAAGCATCTTTAATTTTGATTATATATGATTCAAATATATTCTGAATTTTTGATAAATAAGGTAATAAATGTACAGACACTGTACAATATTTTGATCACTATTTGCCAATGCCATGCTACATATCTGTTGTTCACCCTATACCTGCTTTACCATATTTTTTGTTCTTTTTTTAAATTAAATGATTGGCTTTGTTTGGTAAAATTGCCAGTTCTTTTTAAAATCAGCATTATCAGATTGTTTTTGTGTAAGTCATTGATTTCTTATATACATTTTGGTGACCTTTGCCCCAATAAGTGCCAGACTATATTTCTGTTTTACCTCAAATTTGCTGAGTGGCTCTGTATGATTTACTTTGAAAGTCACTTCTATCAGGTTATTTTTGCCAAAGTTAATGATTCTTTTCTGTTTGTTTATTTTTGCAATATTTCTCCCATAGTCATACCTTTGTTTTACTTCAAACTTACTGAGTGGATTTGTTTGATAAAAAAGCAGGTTCCTCTCAAAAATCAATATGATTGGTTATTATTTACTTAACTTAAAGACCTTTGAGTTTAGTGTGCATTCCCTCTCACCATTTTTGTGTTCTTAGTAGGCCAGTTGTCTCTTTCTGTCAGTATACATATATTATCATGTAAGCAAATGTTTTCATTTAAGTTTGCTCTTATTCTACTCATATAAAATATTGTTAAAGGAACTGCTGTGTTCAAAATATTAAAAACGTGCTGACAATAATGTGTACTCATGGTTGGTCAGAAAACCAAAAGAGATTGGAAAAAGTGAAAAACATTCACTTCTTTTAGGCAAACTATATTTGTTGTTGAGGTTTAAAAATTCTGATTTCTTTTTATCTTATAATTTAAAAAATGTTTATTGTATATCTTGCCTACATAGATGTTATTGATTTTTTGCATTGAGTTTATTTGTTTAATGTCTTTAACTGTGCCATCGTCACTATCTACTTAAGATTTATTTTATATATTTTGTAATAAGATTACCTGCTTTTAAATTCAAAGTTTATGATCATTTCACCTAATTTTCCTGTAGTCTGTGATTTTCATTACATTAAGCTACAATTCCCTTGACTTACAAACCCCAACTTACTGTATGTTAAAGTCCCTTTTCTTTAATTTTCTTGATGCATGGTTTTGATTTTGTTATCTGCTAAATTCCATTATTTTAAATGCAGGTAGTAGTTTTTGGGCAGCATTTTAAAATGGCCAAGTGGAAAGTTTTTAAACAAATTAAAAGAAAAAATTGAGTATGTTAAGGCCTGATTCCCAATTAATGAATGTGATAATTTTCTTATAAACCGCAGTTGTCACAGACCAACTTTCTTAAAATTATTTTATAGAAAAAAGTGCTGTACTATTTATTAATGACAGATGTGCATGCATATTACAATCAAGTAGATTGATTGACTTCCATTTAGTCTTATATTTCACCATAAATTATTTTTATGAAATGAATATTTTTGTTTTCTTCTTAAAAGTTTTTACTTCTTGTTTTAGATCCAAGTTTTAGCACTTAAAACCCCTGTTGCAGCCATTCCGTAGCAAAAATGACACAAAAGAACCAATTTCAAATACTGTCATAGTTTTAGACCTTATGTTTTTGTATACTCAGTTTACACTTGTACTGTATATCTGACAGTACCACAAATCATATTTCAACATTATCACCCATTATAATTAGAATCCATTCTTAAGCATTATACGTGCAATTTACATGCACTGTGTGGAGATTGCAAACTTGACCACTTTTTATGTACAGACAGATGTGTCTGTACATATAGCTGTCACCTGCATCTGTCATAGCCATCACTGTCAACGTTGTGGTGCACTTTCACCGATAGCACAGTAAGTGGAAAATCATTTTATCTTTTGGCTTGAAACTTACCAAGCTGATGAATATTCATAATACGCAGGTCAAGTTAAAAAATCAGCATGATCAGGCCATTTTCTTAGAAGTTATGCTGTTTTTTAAGCTTTTATCAGCATATATGCAATATTGATAACACTTCTAACAATTCTAAGGCATGTTAACAGTCCCATTATTAAACTAATCAGATACTTCAAAATGTTCTTTTGACATTTTCTGCATCTTAACAACATTGTTAGTTGATAATATAAAAATGACGGTAAACCTGTTATCGTGTATTATGTAATAAAGTGTTAAAAATGGAAATAAACTCATCATTGCAGTTGGTCAGATTCAATCATTCACTTTGTTCAGAAGAACAAATTGGACAAATAAAATTGTTCTGATGATATTTTTCCTAAGTCAAGAATTTTCTTAGCTGATTATATGAAAATGAAAGTAAATTGATTATTTTGTTTTATGTAAAAAAGGTGTTTAAAATGGAAATAAACTCATTTCAGTATAGTTATCTATTGTTTACTTTGTAGCATTTTCAAGGTTTGACTTTTACTTCCATGACCTTGAAGACTTTTGCTAGTCACATTTTCTGAATATCCATGATACTTTTATTTCATTATTAAAAATTGATGGTCATAATGCTGTTTAGCATTATGTAATATTGCATCAAAATTGAAGAAACCCCCTATTTTGGCAGGGGAGGACCCAGGATTATTTAAATGGGGGGGGGGGGATGCGAAGTCGACCCTTCTCCCGACACAAAAACGAAACATTTTGTAAAGCATACAAAGATAATTTTGCTACAATGTGCAAGGCCCAGGGATAAAAAATAGCATCATTCTATCTCGTTTCAATCCAATATACAGTGTGTGTGTGTGTGTGTGGGGGGGGGGGATACAACTATGTTTGTCTATTACTAGCAATGAATACAAACTAGACAATATATGACATCAGAAAGCTTTATTTCTAATTAAACATTACAAAAATCAAATGCAGAATTAACAGAAACTCGATTTATTCTTTATTTTCAAATGCTTAAATTGCAGATTGGTACAGATTGTCTATTAAATAAATCAATATGCTTCATTCTATTCAACTTCATTCTGGATTTATTTTTTTCAACATCCCAGGAACAAATAATTCTATAATGAATAAGGAAAACTTCTTTAAGGAAAACTGCCCACCTCTGTATCAAATTTTATTACGAAAATATACAGTTTAACATCAATACTTTCAATATATTGCTCTTTACTTAACATGAAATGTAGAACACATAAGGAATAAAGCAAGCTTGCCTTGAAATCGTTGGGTCATTGGTATAATCTCAAGTAACTGTCCATTTCCGATTTTAAGTTTATTTTTGATTTAGAGAAAAAAAGGTACTCGTGTAAAGTAGTTATTGCTCAACCACACTTGAGAAAATCTGAAAAGCAGTGACATGCGATCCTCCTGCGAAAAATGACTGTGTGCACCCAGCATTCTTCAGGAGGAAAAGGATTAGAATAAGTAAGGTTAGCGAAAAGGACAGATTATGATTTTCTCAAATGTAATGCTAAGCAATTCCCATGTCAGAGGCAAATATTTTATAAATACTAATCCAAAACAATTGGCTGAAATGTGGACAATAATTACTGTAGGCAATACCAATGTTTGTCATGAGAAATTAACCCTGCGCATTTCTCATATAGACCCAAGACCTATAGCTACTTGTAGTGCAGATTAACCAATTAAATATATACTAAATTAATTATATACATATGATATGAGGACTATCCCACTTAAGTTAGATAAGATATCAAAGTACATTCAAATGCACAAGTGAAAAAAAATCTAATTCATCTTGATAAAACCACATCTAACAAACTTTTAAAGTAAACCATAAACAAAATAAAATACCCTGCATTTGCAAGTATTTGTGAAAACTATTTACATACATGTACGTACACGTGTATTAACAATATTTTTCCAACAAAGAGTTGGATCTATTTCAAACATAGAATTAGACGCATTGGGTTTGTTATAACCTGCATTGTGATTCTCCGTACTCTTTAGCCCTGGTCCAAAATGTTTCAGTTATTCTCTATGAACTGGGTACATTATTCGATGCATTTCTTATGTTTGGTGTTTTGCATGTTATATGAAATGCCTCTAAAACATACAGTAAAGATGACGCCAGTCCCAAATATTCAGTTCTGAAATAGATATCAAAACTATGTCAAGATTTTTGTGTGAAGTTCTATATCTAATTATATATACTGCAATTATTACAGTCAACATTCAGTTTAAATTTATTTGACATTATGGAAAGATTTAGTGGGTAAACATGAAAATATACCATTAGGTGTATGGAAATACCTGAATTATCATTGGAAGTTGCTGCCTTATTCATAACGTTGTTGCAAAGACTTTTGGTAGCCTACAAGTTCAAATTAAATCTTTGTCAGAGCATTGAGAGCATAAGAAAAGTTATAACATGTATAAACAAATGTGGACTTAAGTCAACCTGTAAATGCTTGAGGTTTATCAGGCCTACTGGTAGCAGGCCCAGTTCAAAATATTATTTTCAATAACTTGCAATAATGTACGTAACCATTTTTTTCTCACTCACTTGCCTTGAAACATTCGTTTTCAATGCTGAAGTAACACGCTGCTGGAAGGCCATCTACTTCTGATCACTTCTGTTACAAAGAATCCTAAACAGGCATATGTGCCCTTGTACCTTTTCATCTTGGAGAGATGCCATTATCCTTTGGACGTCTGGTGTAGCTATACTATAGCCTAAAAATCAGATTGTATATTTACCAAAAAAACTATGAAAGGAAATGGAATTGAACCTTGCAAAATGAAATATTTAAAGTACTAGTAATATATGTGCAGTACATGCTGGGATTTTACAACTCCCACCTAGCACGACAGTTGTCCTATTTTGTGAAAGTCGGTTGCATCATGTATAGGGGTAGGGGTTTTTTAAAATTGCATTTGTCATCGTACACTGTGGGTATGACACCCTTAATTGTTTATGTAATAATATATATTTACTCCAAGTAGAAATGGAAAATATTTGTTTTCTTGCTCCCCTCTTCCCCACTTACAGTTTACTAACCTTGTTTTATCCCAGGAGTGTGAACAAGCAGGTTAAGGTCTGAAGAGAGGCTGTCCGTCTATCCCAGAAGTGTAGTCAAGACCTAATGGTAGACACTATGTCGTAGAAGTGGGCTAGCTGTCTCATGCATGTGGCAAAGAACCTGATGTTGTTCCTCCAAGGAGCGCAGTCGAAGTCCGAGAGGAGGCATTCATCATCCTGTAAAAAGAAATAAAAATGAGATTAGATTACTTGCACTTCTCCAACCCCCACCTTTTCTACCTCCCCCCCCCCCCCCC